AATCGTTACTTCGAGTTTCTCACAGCACAAGTATCAGACAAGAACCTGTTTCTTAATTACTACACACACACGCGCAAAAAAATGCACACACACACAGACACACACAGACACACACAGACACACAGACACACGCACACACACACACACACACAGACACACACACACACACACACACACACACACACACACATATATATATATATATATATATATATATATATATATATATATATATTGGTTGTAACAGCAAAATTGTCCTAATCACAGAACAGCATGGGAAAATTGTCCATCCCACAAGAAACTTGTATCTATAAAAAGAATGTATAAACATAAAAATATCTTAAAATAATTGTCGGACTTTCTTTTTTCCAGTTTTTAGGTAAGACGTTTAGTCACCTTGAAACCATTTGTCGTAAGAATCACTGAAAAACCCTTTGAGTTATTCAGCTATGAAAGACAAAATGTTAAAATCGTTTTGCGCCAGCCCCTACTGTCTTCACAAATGAGCAATGGTCAAAGGAAAAAGATCATTCCGGCCTTCATTAATGTTACCAACATTCATGCACTGGCTTCCATCTTCAAAGTCCATTTAAGTACCATCAAGAGAACGGTGAATAAGATTATGAAAGAGGGAACAGTAGAGAGGAAAACTGGATCAGGAGGTCACAACAGGAAGAGGGATCATCATTTCAACTTACAGCTAAAGAAATCAATTAGAAAAGATCCAACTCAATCCATAAGACGCTTGGCACGTGAGAGAGAAGTTTCAGCTATGACAGTCTAAAGAGCAGTGGAAAAACTTTAAAATGAAATTGCACGTGAAACCTGTGTGGCAACTTGTTACACCAGGACAGAAAGTTAGAACGTTTGGGCGGGCGAAGATCATCTTGAATAAGTTGAAAAATAATACTGGAATGATATATATATATATATATATATTTCAATCCTTCTTGAGCTTTCGAGTTTTAGCTATTATTAATTAATGATGAACATGTCATTTTCGTTTATGATCGATTTCATTGAAATTCTTCTGTTAAGCTTGGAGAGTAATTATACATTCTTATTGCTCAAAGGAGAGTCCAATCATGTTATAAATCCAGTAAGAAGATATCTTTAATCATTTCCTTTTTTGAATTTCATGTAACAATTCAACATTTCGCTTTATTTATCATCACTTACCTTGATAAAGTCAAAATGACAAAACACGTCGGTAAGTACTAAATACTATCAGTTCATCCCATAAGTTCTGTCCGAATTTTGAATAAAGAAAACAAGTGACCAAATGTTACATTTAATTACAGATTCAATCAACAATGTATTTTCCCTGATTATCTATGACTTCCTTCCGTCTATTAACAAGCTTACTAATTCCATTACTGTAAAATTATTTTGGCTTTGAGTCGAAGTACTCACAAATGTCAGTTTTAACCTCGTCCTGCGTAACAAAAGCTGTTTCTTCCAAATGATTCTGTAAACTACGAAACAAATGGTAGTCTGAAGAAGCAAGATCGAGAGATTAAGGTGGATGAGGAATTTTCTCCCAACCAAGTTCTTCGATCTGTTGTGACGTGTTTCTTGCTGTGTGGGGTCGCGCATTGTCCTGATGAAACATCACCTCTTTTCGATTCACTAGAGCAGGTCTTTTTTCCTCAAAGCTTGGTTCAAACGCTCTAATTGCTGACAGTATATTTGAGCATTAATTGTTGCATTAGGTGGTAAGAATCCAAAGTGGATTATTCCTTGGCGATCCCACCAGATTGAAAGAAGAACCTTTTTCCCATGAAGTTCCCATCTCGGCTGTGGCTGGGGTCCTTCCCCTTTACCAAGCCACTGTCTACAACGCTTAACATTTCGATAAAAGATCCATTTTTCGTCGCCAGTCACAAGTCTATCCACAAAAAGTGAAACAAGTTGGCGAGAATGAAGAGAAGAGCAGATGTCAACTCGGGATTTGAGGTTGTTTTCAGACAATTCACGAGGCACCCATTTTCCAAGTTTAGGAACTTTTCCATGTTGTTGAAGATGACGATGAACAGTTGTATGGTTTGAACTGAGAACCACTGCCAATTCCTCAACTGATAAAGCAGGATTTTCTTCAAGGGCTGCTTCAAGAAGCTTATCATCAAACTCAACTAGACGTCCGGTTCGATCTTCTTCTTCAAGGGTGAAATCTCCACCTCTGAATTTTGCAAACCATCTTCTACAAGTTCTTTTATTCACACAATCCTCTCCATAAACTGAGTGAATGTTTCTAGCCGCTTCGGCTGCTGAGTTTCCTTTCTTGAACTCATAAAGCATTATGTGCCTCAAATGATTCTTGGGTACTTTCATGTTAGCAGGGTTTTAATCAAACAAAATTTAATTTTATTGTTCTCTGAAATGAAATTTGATCAGTTTAAATGCACCTAAACATAAAAATAATGTTTAGCTCCATTAGACATAAAATACACTTTAAATTTCGTTCATTTTAACAAAAAGTTAAAATTCGGACAGAACTCATGGGATGACCTGATATTTTCCGATTGTCTATTTTATTCAATTTGTCTTCTGTAGAGAATTATTCTGAGAAATTTAACACACACACGCGCACAAACAAACACACATAGACACACACACACACACATATATATATATATGTGTGTGTGTGTGTGTGTGTGTGTGTGTGTGTGTGTGCTTCTGATTAAATAAAATAGACATTCGTACGTACTCACAAATAACCTTTCGTGTATTGATGTTAAAGGATGAGAGAAATGTGCCATCGCTGTTTAAATTTGTTATCCATTACCGTAATTTTTTCATTATGCTTTTAAATGCAAAACAGTTGACAATGCGCTGAACGTTCATTAGAACGTGAAACAATTATCGATTATGGAATTTCTTTTCCATGTTATAATATCATGGACATGCGCACATTAAAGCATGAAAAAAAAAAGTTCCTTTACAGGCATTTCAGAACATTACTGCAGTATTCATAGTTGATTCTGTTCAATGCCGGCTTTAATTTTTTTTTTAATATAAATTGCTTCTATTATCTGTAATCTAAATTTGTTGTTTTCATGATGTAGGATAACAACGCACAAATTTGTATAAATACTTATACTAATGAACATGTAGTTTTTTACTATTTTCACGCCTGAAGATGTTCTTGGAAAAAGATCGAAAATACTTGGGAAATGAAAATAAAAGGAATTTAAACAGGTATAGCACATTTCTCTCATCCATTAACATCAATACACGGAAGGTTATTCGTGAGTATGAACGGATTTTGTTTAAAATTAGCAGACATAATGTCTGTAATTTATCCAATCAAACACGCCTATAAGTCTAAACACACACACACACACATATATATATATATATATATATATATATATATATATATATATATATATATATATATATATGTTATACGTTCTTTATATAGATACAAATATTTAAGTAAATTTTCTGTTTATAATAAACAGGTTTAACAACATTTACTGGCCAGAACGCTCGAAAAATTTTCGTAGTGTGTGACATATATATATATATATATATATATATATATATATATGAAGAAAAATATACGGAAAAAAACAAAAAAAATCCTAATATGCAATTATGCTGTTTTGATGTTAATATAATGTCAACGTCGGACGTTTCGGTCTAATAGACCATCTTCAGGACATATTCATAAAACATAATTAACATAGACCATATACAATTCAACATGAAAAAGACGATGGACATAAAAGCAATACCAATCCAAACAGATAACTGAAATCTTTTATAAGATCAGCGTTCCGTTTAAATATGATCACGTCGTCGTCACGTGACCGATGTTGTGAAAACGTATTCCTAAAATTTGAGTATTTTGAATGAAAAACGAAAAGAATTTTATTTTGATCTAAAATTTATATGTACGCTTGTCGAGCATTAATCTCGCTAGAAAAGGGGAAATACTAAAGAAGCCAGGTCTAGTATTCACCGTGCGTGAGATGGATATTATGCCTGCTTCATAAATCCGCCTAAGATTTTTATTATGAAAATATTTTAAAATCTTCACAGAATCAAAATCGAAATTATGATCAGCTTTAGTTGTGTGTACAACTAAAGCATTGTTTAAATTTCCGAGGCGAATATCTCGTTTATGTTCGAAAACACGAGATTTTACGAGATGTTTCACCCACATATTTTAAGTCACAGTTGTTGCATGAGATTTGGTAGATGCAAGCATCGGATGTAATATATATATTATATTTTTCTTCATACTGTCGGATCTATATCCATATATTTGCCTACATATATATATATATATATATATATATAGAGAGAGAGAGAGAGAGAGAGAGAGAGAGACAGAGAGACAGAGATAGACAGAGAGAAAGATGAACAGAGATACAAAGTGAATAAAAATAATATGTTTCTGAAACAGAGATAGGACACAATGAAAATATATTTCAAGAAGATTTCAATATATATTTAAGTCAGTATATTCACATTTTTAAACACATACGTATATACATTTATACATGTGTGTGTATGTTTACACACACATGCACACACAGCTCTTATAATTGACTGAGAGAGATAGAGAGGGATAATAGATCGAGAGAACAGGGGTGTCACATGGGTACATATTTCCATATGATATTAGTGCCAAGTGTACAGACAAACTTGAATGCAGCACATGTTAAGTAACGCACAGAATGACCCTGAGGACAGGACGTTCTCATCTTTGTCAGTCCCCACCCAACACATGCTAGGGTTTTGTCTCCTTTTGCTTTTTATAACAGCTGCACTCAGCTCACGCCGAATAACAAACAGAACTTAAAGATCCTTTTAAGTGAACCACACACACAAATATATATATATATATATATATATATATATATATATATATATATATATATATATATATATATATCGAGAAGTGAGGCAGAACGAAAAGAAAGAGAAAATGGCGAATGAAAAAAAGTAACTTAATAGAGGAAAAAGAAAACACACAAAATGAAGAGCTCTTAAGAAAGAAAGAAAGAAAGAAAGAACGAATGAAAGAACGAAAGAAAGGAGTAAAGAAAGAAAGGAGTAAAGAAAGAAAGCACAAAAGAAAGAAAGAAAAAAAGAAAGAAAGTAGTAAAGAAAGAAAGGAGTAAAGAAAGAAAGAAAGAAAGAAAGAAAGAAAGAAAGAACGAAAGAAACGAGTAAAGAAAGAAACGAGTAAAGAAAGAAAGAAAGAAAGAAAGAAAGAAAGAAAGAAAGAAAGAACTTGAACAGCGATGGGAGAGAAATTTCCACCATTTCTAGAAGATAACAGAAAGAATCTTCAAAAATCGATAAAAGAAAGAAAATAGAAAATCTTAAGAAAGAAACGCTAAAAGAAAAAGAAAATAAGAAAGAAAGAAAGAACGAACGAAAGAACGAAAGAAATGAGTAAAGAAAGAAAGAAAGAAAGAAAGAAAGAAAAATGAAGGAGTAAAAAAAGAAAGAACGAAAAAAGAAAGAAAGAAAGAAAGAAAATTAGTAAAAATGAAAGAAAGAATGAAAATAGAAAGGCAAAAAAAAGAACTTGAACGTCGATGTGGGAAAAACTTTCAACATTTGTGGAAGATAACAGAAAAGGTCTTCAAAAATCGATAAAAGAAAGAAAGAAAGAAAATAGAAAATCTTAATAAAGAAAGACTAAAAGAAAAAGAAAATACTTAAGAAAGAAAAGAAAGAAAAAAAAGAAAGAAAAAAAGAAAGAAAAAAAGAAAGAAAAAAAAGAAAGAAAAAAAGAAAAAAAAAAAAAAAAAAAAAAAAAGAAAAAAAAGAAAGAAAAAAAGAAAGAAAAAAAAGAAAGAAAAAAAGAAAGAAAAAAAAGAAAGAAAAAAAAGAAAGAAAGACGGAAAAAAGAAAGAAAAAAAGAAAATCCAGAAACTAGAAAGAAAAAATTTGTATATCAATAGTAGAAAAACATTCAAATTTTTATAAATGGAAACAGAAAAAAAAAAGATGCTTAAAAACCACCCGAAGAAAGAAAAAAAATATTATAAAGAAAGAAAAAAACAAACAAAAGAGAACAAGATTTTGACAAGAAAGGAAATATTAAGGAAGAAAGAAACTTAGAAAACTTTTAAAACAAAGTAAAGAGAAAATCTTGAGAAGAACTAAAAAGACAAATACTTGCAAGATCTTTAGATTCACTGATGTTGCTTGACAAAGAAAAGAGTAACGACCTGCAGACTTTAGTGCAAAGCGATAATTATTTTGACAGCCATAAAGTGCAAGAAAACTGACAAAGATATTAATGTTGACGTAGAAAATACCCAAACAAGAAGTCGAAAATGGAAAATAAAACAATTCCGCAAAGATTTTTAAGATATAAACAAAAAAGATTTCCAGATGATATAATAGCCGTATGGTTGCGTAAAGGGCACTTGAAAAGAGAAACTGAATCGCAAAATGAAGAAAGTGCTAATGTAAAAAAGTGCAAAAAAAGACAAACAAAGGAAAATTAAATATGAAGAAGTAAACGAAACGTTAGATAAATCCCGTGAGAAAAATAAGAACGAAAAGAAAGCAATCGGAATTACTGTGAAAAGTCTAGAGTGACATAATGATGAAACCAT